TTTTTGGTCGAGACCCCTTTGCAAGTTTCAACTAAATTAGTTTTGCGAGTTGGAGGAAGACTCAATCAAGCACCCATTGAATACAATGCGAAGTTTTCTGCGTTATTGCCAAAGCAACATCAACTTACGCGCAAATTTGTGGAGCCCCTGATTGTAAATTTGGGTAATCAATGCGCGTGAGTTAGTACGAAAGGTAGTCAACTCTTGTGTGCATTGTTATCACTACATACCAAAGTTAGTGCAGCAAATAATGGGATCTCTTCCAGCCGATCGTCTACTTGCTCAGCGCCCCTTTTTGGTAGTAGGTGTTGACCTATGCGGCCCATTTTATACTTCGTACCGCATTCGTGGAAAGGCACCTTACAAAACCTATCTAGCAGTATTTGTTTGCTTTTCATCGAAAGCAGTACATGCGGAATTAATATCAGATTTATCAACTAATAACTTTGTTCTCTCTTTGAAGCGTTTTATTGGCAGACGTGGCATACCGTATCGTATCTACTGTGACAACGCCACAAATTTTGTGGGCGCACAGGCGCAGCTGAATGAATTAAAGCGTCAGTTCTTCAACCAGCAATCAGTATCTGATTTGGAGCAGTTCGGCAGCGTTCATGGGTTTGAATTTCGATTTATCCCACCGCGAGCTCCTCACTTTGGGGGATTGTGGGAAGCTGCTATAAAATCAATGAAGACTCTGCTGGTAAAATACATCTCACAGTCTAACTTAACATTCGAAGAACTTCAGACAGTAGTGATTGAGGTAGAGGCCATATTGAACTCGCGACCTCTTACGCCTTTGACTGACGACCCAAATGATGGTGAGGCGCTTACTCCAGCACATTTGCTTATAGGGACTTCGTTGAAAACACTGCCGGAGCCACAACTCAACGTCATAAAGGAGTCGCGTCTAACTAGTTGGCAGCGTATCACTTACTTAAAGCAGCGATTATGGGACTTGTGGCGTCGGGATTACCTTCATACATTACAAGTGCGGTCGAAGTGGCTTGAGAAGCAAGAAAACATCGTTCCTGGTCAGCTTGTTATGATTCATGATGACAATTTGCCACCCCAACAATGGACACTTGGTCGCATCACAAACACGTCCCCAGGAGCAGATGGCCGTGTACGTGTGGTTGACATTCTCACAAAGCGAGGTACTCTACGGCGCCCAGTGCACAAGATAGCTCCTTTGCCGATTGAATAAAAATGTTTGAAAATAATATTTCAACGGGCGGAGTATGTTGGAGCAGATGAATTTGTGTATATTTCTACAAAGTAGTTACAGTCTTGTACCACTGTGCCTGCGCTACATGCATAGGTGCATACATGAAACATATCGGCCGATGTTGTTTTTCTTTATCTTATTTACATATGTACGTACATGCAAATGTCTTTGCTACAGCAAGTGGGTACGCACATAGTTACGCACAGCTTAACTTAGTTATATACATATTTACATACATTCATATATATAGGGTTATACATATCAACGCATTCCTTATCATAACAACACAAATACTGTAAATTGTTATTATCAATTGTTCTCTCAACATCATTCGATGTTACGATAACTGGTTCTTTCCAATAAGAGTTTTGCTTTATAAGTTTCTAGCACAATGTACAAGTGGTTAGTCGAAATAAATCAGTGAAAATTAGCAGTCGAGTTTTTTCTTCTACGAGGCTCATTAATTTGAGTTCAAACAGTGGCGACCGTGACAGGACTTATACCTGGCAAATGGCTAAGTCCTGAATTCTTTAAATCGTTGTAGTGCATTTTTTTCGTTACACGTTGAACTATGGTGTTCAAACTATAATTACGGCACTCAATATAGCATCATTTCGAGTCACCGCTAGCTACATTTAATAATGAGCAAGGCAAAAGCAGAAAGTCAGGAGGAGCAGTTATCCGGGTTACGCCAACAACGCGCCACAATGGAAAGAAATTTAAAAAGCATCGCCGCCAAAATCGAACAAGATAAGCAGGGTGATCTTGCAGTCGTTGAATGTCGAGCGGAAATTTTGGAGGCATATTTTCAACAAATTTGCCAATTGCAAACGAAGATTGAAAAAATCGATCCAGATGACGAGCATCGAGCCGAAATTGAAGACTTATTCGTCGCTGCAAAGGCAATGATATCAAGGCGTATAGGCAAGGGCAGAAAAGATAAGCCTGATGACTCCGGTGTAGTTAATGTGACAAATTGCTCCAATATCTTGCACCAAAGTCGTCTACCGTCATTAAAGCTGCCTAAGTTTGATGGCAAATACGGTGAATATAATCGCTTCATTACATCGTTTCGAAACCTGGTTCATGAGGATAAATCTATACCAGTCATCGACAAATTTAACTATTTATTGAGTTCTTTGTCAGGCAACGCATTGAACGTCGTCGCACCGTTCCAAGTGTCAGAGGAAAACTACACAAAGGCACTCAAACAACTTGAGCAGCGCTACGACAAACGGGTATTAATATTTTTAGAACACATAACTAGCTTGTTCAACATTCAAACCATGCCAAAGCCGGATCCATCAAGTCTCCGCACAATTCTAGACACAGTTTCTGCTCTCCGAGGTTCGTTGTTGTCTTTGGGCTCCGAGGCAGACGTTATGAACGCGATCATTATTTAATTAGTTTTATCAAAGATAGATGGAGAGTCAAAACTAACTTATGACAGGAAGCAAAGCTTCGAAAAATTACCAACTTGGGAATTTTGTTACGACACTTTAAGTCGGCATTGCCAAATTCTCGAAAGCAACATGAAACCGCAATATGAAAGGAGCAAAGGCGCACATCATAAGCAAGCATCAAGCGCATTCGTGACTGCACAAAGCAAATCACCATCGAATTGTTTAAGGGACACATGATTTCAAAATGTCCTTCCAAATCAAAATGCCGTGTATGCCAAAATTCACACCATACCGCGTTGCATCGTCATATCTCGGCAGATAACAATGGAGCTCATATGAGTGAAACAATTGCGTCGCAACCACCTGTTCTATCGTTAGTATCACAAAGTACTCGGCGTGCACTTATTCCTACAGCTCTTGTCTTAATCAAAGACAAGTATGGCAGTTTTCAAACAGCGCGGGCTCTTCTAGACTCGTGCTCTGAAATTAACTTCATTACTGAAGAGCTGGCTAAACGACTTCAACTTGGATTTCAGCGAAATAATCAAGAAATTTCTGGTATTGCAGATGTTCGTACCAACTTGCGGTTTTCAGTCAAAACAGTTATTAAATCTCGAGTGTCTAGCTATGAATTCACTTCAGATCTTGCCGTCACAAACCGAATTTCGCTTCAGCAGCCAGAACATTGTTTGGACACTACCAACTGGAATCTTCCAGAAGGCATTATACTGGCTGATCCGCTCTTCTACAAACCACAAAAAA